CATTGACCATTCCCCATTCTGACCAGTCACCACCTGTTCACCATCTTAATCAAGAGAAAAATGAATAGCCCCCCAAAATAAGTTTTACCATCACTCATAAATTGTAAAACAGCATTAGCAATTCTAAAAAAATACTTAATATTTCATTTCACTTTTCTTTTAAAGATATCATTGCTTGTCTCAACAAATAATTTAAGTAGAATAATAATAATTCTTTTTATTTATTTGTTTGTTTGTTTGTTTGTTTGTTTGTTTATAAGGAGAAAACTGACTCAGCTTTCAAGTGATGTTTTCAAAGTACTTAGTAAATATTTGTTAAAGGACCTCAGTGTTTTGACTTCCAGTCAGTCTTTATTAACTACACAATTCTGCCACAAGGTGGCAGCAGGCAACACGCCTCCATCCTCAATTCCCCTACTAAAACTTCCCTTGCAGAGTTCTGTGCTTATTCATTAATTATGTCTTAACCTTCGCTCTCAGAAATCAGGACAACTAGTTAGAGTGAGCTTAATGCTCTCATAAAGCACAAAATTAAGATATTTTGGATTTTTGTTTACCATTTTTTCTATGCTCCCTGCAAATGTTCTGCTGTAAGATTGTTGCTACAATCTCCCCATATTCCAACACATTGTATTCCATAAGCTCTTCTTTTTCCTTTCTTTAGACAAGTTGTATTTTATCTAGAATGACATCACTTGTTAAACGGAAACACAAATTCCATAGCCCCTGCTGTAGACTTAGTGAATCAGAATCTCCAGGGAAAGCTGTGTGGAAATGCAAGTTCTTTCGTTTGTAATTATGCTTTCTATATGGGCACGTTTAAGGAGCACTGCTCTGGATGATGATATCCAGCCCCGCCTAGAAGAGTTCTACAAAAACCAGCCCCCTCTTGTCCTCAGCCTCCCCTAACTTTATAGCCATTCACCACTGCTATACCCCTCTCCACACCCCTGCCTCCTTCTCCCCAAATCACCTGGTCCACTATGTTACATATGCTCAGCCCTCTTGCTTTCTGATTTCTGGAGACCAGGGATGTGGCTTAGTCTGGGCCAGAGCCAGGCCTCCTATCCTCAGAGAGTGAGGACAGGCAGCCCTGACAGGGTTTATCAAATGAGAGCTGATATGTAGTCACAAATTGTCAGAGAAGCCCTTCATTTAATGCTCTCCTACAAAGCTGTGAGGTGTCTATGTTACAGTCATAGAGTCAGTCTTTTATATTCTTATGCCATGTGATAGTCTATGTTAGGTTTCTAATATTTTTATTGTTTTGCTTTGATTATGCATTTGTGCTGGCTGTGAATCCCTCATTAGAAGATGAGAATTTAGAAAGCAGAAGCCACATCGTCTTTGTGAATTCTCACTGGGTAGGTACACTCTTCCATATAGCTGTTACTAGCAACTGGCAATCCTCCTGGCCATGGAGGAGAAAGAACAGCATCACTGAAATGCTTATATCAGGCACTGGGGTGTAGAGGATGGAGCATAATTATAAGGGTAAGATTCGGAGTTTCCATTTTCAGCAGAATGGCATGACTGTCTTTCAGAAAACAAGCTGAGGACTAAAACTGGATTCTAGCTTAAGGGCATTTGTCAAACTGGGTAAAGGAGAATTCAGGCTTTCATAGCCTCAAAGGGCAAAGGGGACAGGAGGCAAAGCCCAGGAACTATCAAGGTTGGGTGCATATTCAAGACCCCTCCCCATATGTGTAACATAGGAAATTACTACTCCCAACATCAAGGGGACTGAAAGAAAATTGTCTCGAACCTTGGTATAAAGATTTTTTCTCACTGATCTGGAATTCCAGAGGCACTTAGAAAAGGTTTCCAGGAATGTGGAGTCCACAGAGGCCATGGGCAGAGCTCATAATCTTATTTTTATTTTTAAAAATTAAAAAATGAAATACTAATTATCCCAACCCTGGATAACTGGGATTGTTTATTTCAAATCCTCAGTGTACAAATCATGGGCAGTAATGTCAAATTAAGTTTCCAGGCACAACCTCACTTAACCTTGGAGTTTATAGGAGGCCCAAGAGAATCCACATGAATAGAGATCAAGCATCTTTCCCAGTGGACAGTCAAGAATGATTAGATGGATCAGTGAACTTTAAAGAATCTATATCATGTTGTGTTCACATAGCAAGCAGGGTCTTAATTTCAGCAAAACATTAGTTGTAATTATAATACTGTAATTTTAAACTTATTTGGCTCTGTCGCTTTGTTTATATTTAATTTGTAAATATGTTTTGGTTTGCATAGCTGTATAAGAATAAGGCATTTATACCAAGTTTATGTTTATACATTTTTAGCTAACATTGTAATAGAAATAATTTAAGTAACGAGGTGGTCCTTGAGAGATTTGTTTTCCTTTAAAAAAGAGATCTGTTCATTACTTAAGTTTATAAAACATTTATTGCTTATTCTTATATATACTGTTTCTTGTGGTTCATGACTATTTCTTGTCTAGTCTTTTCATTCCCTATCTTTTAAATTATTCTAAAATCAAGAGGGAAAATTGATATCAATATAACTGACAGTGTATCAGTTTAAACATGTATCAACTCCAACAAACTACATGTACTAAGTCATTACCCACGTCATTCCAACACCTTCATATATGAATTTCTGGTGCCTAAAGGCATATGGTCAAATCCAGTTAAATGGAGATCTCATAACAGTAGTATATGGCCAGGAACCCACCTGGGTTCATATTTAGAATCTTGCCTTATCAGCACCCCTTCCCCACCTCAAAAACAAAAAGAATAAGATTGATTACACTGATAACTAATGCAGTTATCTACAGAGTTGTGAAATCAGCAGAGATTGCCTCCAGCATCTCAGCTCCCATAAAGGCCACCCAGGAGGACCACTATCCCCATCAGCACCGTGATACTTTTCCCCAGCCCTGAAATTTGAAAGGGAAAGTGTGAGAAAGTAACTGTCCAAAGTGAGT